TGATTTTATATTATACAACGACCATTTGTCATCCACCACCCCAGGCGAGATTTTCACACGCAGGGAGGAAGAGAGAGAGAGAGAGAGAGAGAGAGAGAGAGAGAGAGAGAGAGAGAGAGAGAGAGAGAGAGTTTTTTTGCCGTTATGACACGAAAGACGATATTTTTTTCTTTATTACATCACGCATTCATCCATCGACTGAGCGCAAAAGTTGGCTACTGCGTGCCGATTGGCTTCTCTACGACGTGTGAGTTCTGTATATTTGCACGCGGTTGTCAACTTCGTGTTTCSTGATCTCACGGTTTCTATCATGCCCTCGTATTTACGAACATCCACTCCGTGTTCCGTCTATGAGATCTCTGAAAACATTTTCTATGTCACATGCTGCTGCGGTGTTATATCCTTTTGCCTCGACAGCACACTGTGCAAAGCGCTGTACCATTGACTGACGAAATATGTCGACCGTTTGGTCGTCAACCTCCATCGCGCTAACAACTTGTGTTATATATTTTGCGGTAATGTTCGTTTGCTTACTCAGTTTTGCTAGCTTTCGCATCAATTAAGCTGCCACGCAACAAACGTAAACACCACAGTCCGACGTATTGGTCTGTTGCGAACATTCAGCGTACACTATCTTAGATCCAAGTACATCTCTCCATGTCACCCACGACGTGTCCACTGTGTCGGGAGTCAACACCCCTGTTTTGTCTGCCTCGCTGAGGTATTCATACCACAAGAATGTGTGCAACGCCTTCCATTCCTGTCGGCCGCTCTGTTGAAAGGAATCGATGACGATCGCAACAGGTCGTTTCTGGCCATCATTGTCCTCCGTGACTGCCAAAAACTGGCCGACATTCAGTAGCAAGAGCAATTTCCAATGGTTTTCGTGATTCGCAGGGATGAGAACAACACTTGTTGTTCGCAGTTCATTGCTTATTCGACGCAGCTTTGGCGATGTACTCTTGATCCGCCCCTGCCATCCCGCTTTCGCGACATAAACCTTCTGATTGGCGATGACTGCGGGGTGCCAGAAAGATGTCAAAACATGAAGTGTCATATTGTCTCCGTCTGGAAAATATTCGTCATAGACGGATTGTAAGTACATATCAATCACGTTATCGTTCAGCCACTGCTTGACACCCAATCGCAATACGTCCCGTTTTGTTATCGATATGGTGTGTCTTCTTGATTTCCACGTGAACGGGAACAAGTGTTCCTCGTCCACCCTCTTGGGTCTCTTTCCAGCCTCTGCAGTCATACCCGTCGACCGATTGCCTCCTGCAATATTGAACAAAGATTCATGCACCATCTGAGGATATTGGGCGTCATCTGTGGTCATCATTTGATACATTTCCGCATACCAAGGGTCCTCCAGTATGCTCTTCCATCGATTCACTGATCTCTCACTGCTCAATGGGAGCAACGGTTCGGTGACAGTTGGTCCACATGAGTGTTCGTCATTCCTTGTTGTTTCTGAACTGTCCGTCGCTTTGGAGCCCATGATACAACCGTCGCCATCTACCCCCTCGTGGATTTTGTCAAACTGGCTAATCTGAACAACCCTTATTCACCGTCGTACAACAGATGTGACAATTGATGGCAGTGTCAGTCTAAATCGGCTTCTCAACAATTCCTCAATACGTTTATTTTTCGGCTTGCTGTCTTGCCATTTCTTCCAGTGCAGATTGTTATTGTGGCGTTACCTCAACCTCAACCTTTCCTGTTCACATGGCACTCACATGGCCATGAACCACATCTCCTCAGTAACTTGGCAAGTATAGACATGGGTTGATTAGTGCGTGCCACCTCCCACTTTTTAAGTCCACGTTCGCCATACATGTGCACGCAGTAGTCAACTCTGAAGTTACCTTCGTCATACACACTGGTTTGATGCACCTTTCTCTACATTGCTGTGTAAGATAACACAGAAGCTATGCAACAGTGGTCTGAAATGCAGGCTCCGCGCTTGAAAATTTTACCGATGTTCGGACTCCATCTTTACCAAATGACTATTGTTGTTCAAACGCTTCTCTCTCTCTCTCTCTCTCTCTCTGTAAAAGAAAAACAAAAGTTGAGTGCATGCTGTAGTATAACATTGCAACTGCGCCCACCACTTATTGTTCTCGGAAAAACGATCAGCCTTTAAATTTTTGTTTTTTTCACAATGAGTAATTCCCTGTACACTTCTAGAGTACATATCTATTCAACAAAAAATTGTCCTCCCTCTCTTTTGCATGCTTCTTCGAGCCCCACTGTGGTTTACAAAAACGAGGAACAATGTGAACGGTGTCAATGATGGTATCAATCGTTATGACGCTACTGTGCTGATGACTGTTCACCTTCTCCCATTGCAACTTCTTACAACCTGTTGTGTGTTCCCTTTCGCTATCCACCTCTTTGTACCATTGCACGAAACAATACTTGTGCATCTCCGCAACACCACCTGTGCAAGCGTTCATGACGAAAAACATGGCTACTGATGCATACCATATGTTGTTATTGCCACCTCTCACTGCAACATCGCTGTGCACGGCTCTTCCGCGGAACTGTGGTGAAACTCTTGCCGTCTGAACGCTTGCGCCCCTGTGCGTCCCGTCGTATGTGCAGGCGATAGTCAAGTGTGTTCGAGTGTGTATGACTTGGTCATCAGATGGAGGTTCACAACCCATCTCTGTCATGAACGTCGTAAGTGCAACTCGAAAATCCTCTCTGCGGGGAAGCTCATTAAGTATTCTCAACGCCGCATCGCTCATACCCTCTACGCCTGGCAAATGCACATCGTCCATCTGGAACCACCGGAGTTGTAGAGTTGCTGTGTCGCCCGCTGTCAGGGTATTACTTCCTGTGGCCATGCACTCTATCACGGATGACCAATTTTCTGCCGACCTCTTCCTGCGTTTTCTCACACTCTCCATCTCATCCTGCAAAGTCAATGAGCGTCGGACATGATTCACCATCTGGGAAGCAGCCTTACGCTTGTTTGATGACAAACATGGCTGTTTGCAGAACCTCTGATGATTATGCTCCCACACATCAGCTGTGAACGTGTCGGGAACACCAGATCGCTCTATGCTTGTTCTCAAATGCATAAGGTCATGCAACTTCGGAATTTTCCAATCAGAGGTTTGATATTTTCTCATCTTCGTTTTTATACTAGTTATGAAATCACCTATCAATGTGTCACAAACATCGAGAGAGGACGCTGTGTGGGTTGACTTACGAAACACGTGTATGTACATTTCCATGAGTTTGATGAAACAACCGGAAATGGATTTGCCTATCGCACGTGGGATGATATCACAAATAATAAACACACAAACTGTCATAACAGACCGATTTTGCTTCGCTTCAAATCGTCCTTCCCTTGAAAAGAAATCACAACCTGTGGCTACGGGCAACACAAGCTGCGGGTATGTCCGTGTGGATCTCTCACTGATGCTCTGCAACCTCGCATCCATCTCGTGCAATATCTCGCTTTGCGCGGTATCTGGCAACTTCTTATAAGTAGTTGCCTTGAATGCATCTATCATATGCAAAAAAATATCGTGTTCAATGGTGTGCATACGGTCTGGTTGCAAAGCGAGATGGTAATCTAGTTCAGGATCGTCATCATGCGGACCCCTGTAAAATCCCCATAGGCCGTTCTCTTGAACATGCTTATGCATATCCAATTCTGACATTCGTGCCTCAGTAGCACGACGAATGTCGTTGTCCCCACTGTTGAAGCAGTCCGCGGCAAGTTGCGTCTCTAGCGTCTGCGATCTCCTGCAGTTGGTGAAATCGGCGACGACATCCAAATCGTCTTTGGACACTGTGCATGTTGGACAAACATCGAATTTCACAGTTGCAAGGGCACACCTTTCAGGATAGTCCTGTATATAGTTCATGACGAAAGGGTGCACTGTTATCTCACCGAACCGCTCCGTTGTTACCATAATGCCGTCATGGGATGCCTCATTTGCGGACTGCAATACTGTTGACAACGCTTTATGCAATATCACAGTTTTCCGTTTTCTAAACACGGTGGAGTGCGGACCCCAACCCTTGTCACGTGGCCGGTGTTGAAGCACTGGAAGATACGCAAGCAGTGTGGCATCTGATGGGCGATGGGCGATTGACATCATCAGAGGATACGCTGTCTGCTTTTGACGACCGTCTACATGAGTCTTGTTTGAATACAGAGAGGGATGACATAACGTGTTCTACCATTCGTGTCCACACCCTTGTCCGCTCTGATAACAGTTTGGACATGGTGACTCAACTGCCCTGTGCGAGAGTCGCAGATTTCGATGTCCTCCCCGGGATGTTGTATTTCGAGGCAAGACATCATTTCAACGTTGTTCAGTGCAGCACGCACGAGGTCAGCAAACGTTGTGCGCCAGTCGCGGTACCACAAAATGAGATGTGCTTCTTCGGGCCAATCATCACTGCGTAGATTCTTCTCTTGCCATCCTGCAGCTTCAGCCTGGCGGCCTGCCCATGTCAGACACTCACGACTGTTACGAAATGCGATATCTCTGGGGTCAAATCTAGGATTTTTGAGGAGTGACAACAGACAGTCAACGTCAGTTTGGGACATGCCCACACCGCCCCTACACGAGAAAATCAATGCCGCTAGTTTGCGGGAGCTGTCGAATGCCTCTGCGTGTTCATCTTGCTGTTCTTCGGATGCGCAGTCCGCTTGTACCTCAGGAGGGGGCTCAACCTCCTGGCTTTCCTCACTGACCAGGTTAATGGGACCACTATTCGACGGTCCGCCGTTGACCCCCCCAACTATCTCTTCTGTCATGCTCCTCTCTTCCACAGTGGAAGGACATGCCCGCGCTCGGTGCGAGTTCATCGTCCGCAATGACATGAAAGGCCGGCCACAGTCACACACGTGATTCGCATCTTCCATTGCATCTACGTGCGAGGTCTTACGAATTACTGTCAGTTAAGACCTACCGCCGATAGAGGATGCGTATTTGGTCTCAAATTCATGCGTTCCTTTCACACTCCCCCCTCCCCCGTTCCCCCTCTACCTCCCGTCGACTCAACACCGCTGCTGTGCACTGCTCACAGATTCGAAGACAACGACAACATTCAAACTGAAATTAAAATCAGAAATTGTGGTGAATGTTTT